ATTTTGGCATAACAGAATGGGTCACATTGGGTTTAAAGGGTTAAAATCTTTAAGTAATCAGAAATTACTTGGAAAAGATGACATTGAAACTATGGAATTCTGTGAAACTTGTGTTTTAGGTAAGTCCCATAAGGTGAGCTTTGAAGCTAGCTCTCATAGGACCAGCAAACCATTGGACTATGTCCATGCTGATCTATGGGGCCCGGAGAAGCACTCCAAATTTGGTGGGAGCAAGTACTTCTTGTCCTTAGTGAATGATTACTCAAGAAAAGTTTGGATTTATCCTTTGAAAGCTAAGTCGGAAACTTTTGGAAAATTCAGGATTTGGTTAAAGTCTGTTGAGAATCAGTTAGACAAGAAACTTAAAACGTTAAGAACTGATAATGGGCTTGAATTCTGTAATAGCGAATTTGACAACTTCTGTAAGCAGAAAGGTATAACAAGACACAGAACTGTTAAATACACACCTGAACAAAATGGGGTCGCTGAAAGAATGAACATGACCATAATGAACAAAGTTAGGTGTATGTTGATTAGCTCTGGCCTTGCGAAAGGTTTTTGGGTTGAAGCTGCAAGTACTGCAGCTTATCTGATTAATAGGTCTCCGTCCAGCAGTATAGGGTTTAAGACCCCACAGGAGTTGTGGACGGGAGAGCCTCCAAATCTAGAACACTTGAGGGTGTTTGGATGTGCTGCATATGCACACCAATCTGAAGGGAAACTTGAGCCGAGGGATGTCAAGTGTGTGATGTTAGGGTATCCCGAGGGTGTGAAGGGCTATAGGTTATGGGTTTTAGGGGTTCAAGGCATTAAGATTATTAACAGCAGGAATGTAGTCTTTAATGAATTTGAGATGCCATCTCTAAAACAGAAAATCGAAGAAACTAACAAATCTGAAACTGAGAAGAGTATTCAGACTGAGGTGAAGCTGACTAGGCTAAATTCACCTACACCTGGGAATGACGAAAATGACCCTATACATCATGAAAATGAAAATGAAATTGAAATTGAACCTGAACCTAAAGAGGTGACTGAACTTCAAGATAACATTGAACCAGTTGAAGTTGAACATTTTAATGATCAGCCACCTAATCAAGATTATCAGCTTACTAAGGATCGGGAGAGGAGGCAGATCAGACCAAATCCTAGATATGAATCCCTAAACTTGACTGATTTTGCCTTGGTTTCAGGTGAAGCCCTTGAACAGTTAGAACCTGCTAGTTATGAAGAAGCTGTTAATGGAAAATGTTCTGAAAATTGGCTAAAAGCTATGCGGGAAGAAATGGAATCTCTAATGGAGAATAAAACTTGGAAGTTAGTTAACAAACCTAAGGATCATAGGATAGTTCAATATAAGTGGATTTACAAATTGAAAGAAGGAAATAATCCTAGTGATCCTCCTAGGTATAAGGTCAGATTAGTGGCCAAAGGGTTCACTCAAAAGGAGGGGGTTGATTACAATGAGATATTCTCTCCTGTGATAAAGTACAAAACAATCAAACTGGTTCTTGCATTGGTTGTTCAGTACAACTGGGAACTGGAACAACTAGATGTCAAGACTGCTTTTCTACATGGGGAATTGGAAGATGATATTTACATGAGTCAGCTTCAAGGTTTTGAGGTGAAAGGTAAAACAAACCGTGTGTGCAAATTAGAAAGATCTCTGTATGGGCTTAAACAAAGTCCTAGATAGTGGTACATAAGGTTCTATACCTATGTACTAAAGATAGGTTTTAAAAGGAGTGAATATGATGCATGCTTGTACTATAATGATAGTAAGGAGGGCTGTGAGGTCTACTTGTTGCTGTATATAGATGACATGCTTCTAGCAAGTTCAAGTAAGACTGAAATCACTAAGATGAAGAACCTTTTAAAATCAGAATTTGATATGAAAGATTTGGGGAGTGCTAAGAAGATTTTGGGGATGGTTATAAAGAGAGATAGGGCTGAAAATAGACTAGTCATTTCCCAAGAAGCCTATCTAAACAAAGTCATAACTAAATTTGGTATGAATGGATCAAAATCTGTGAACGTTCCCTTAGTAGCTCACATGAATCTTTCCAGTGCACAATCTCTTAAGACTGAGGAGGAATTTAGAGAAATGAGGAACATATCCTATGCGAATGCTATAGGTTCCATTATGTTCTCTATGATAACAACCAGGCCTGACTTAGCATATGCTATAAGTTTTTTGAGCAGATTTATGTCAAACCCAGGAAAACCCCATTGGGCAGGTTTGAAATGGTTGTTAAGGTACATTGTTGGTACATTAAATTTGAGTCTAGTGTATGAAAAGAGATCTGAAAAACTTACTCTAAAGGGGTATGTAGACTCTGATTTTGCTGGTGACAAGGATAGCAGAAAGTCTACCACAGCGTACTTTTTTACACTAGGTGACAATTGTATAATATGGAAGTTATAGCTGCAGCCTTTAGTTACTTTGTCAAATACTGAGGCAGAGTATATTGCCATAACCGAGGCGGTTAAAGAATGTACTTGGTTAAAAGGAATTTTAAAAGAATTGAACTTCATGCATAATACACCTGTTATGTTTACTGATAGTCAAAGTGTTTTATTGTTTTGTAAAAATCCTGTTTACCATGAAAGAACTAAACATATTGAGGTAAAGTATCATTTTATTCGTGAGAAACTGTTTCAAGGTGAAGTTAATCTTGTTAAAATTCACACTGATAGGAATCCCTCTGATATGGGAACAAAAATTCTACCTGCAGGTAAATTTTAATTGTGCTTATCTTTATTAAATATTGACATTGGTTAATTTTTCTTGCAAGTAGTGGGCGATGATGATGAACAGTTCTTCCATGTGCAAATTCGCAACCAAGAGAGAGTGTTATGAGAACTAAGGTGAAGAATGTGAGAATATGATTCTCTTAACTCCATTTATTCAGATTTAAGTGGACCATTGGATGGAGATCGACGCCCGGGATTTAATCTTGGGGGAGATGTTTTTGACTTGATGATATTGATGGTGACACAATAAGGGCCCCCACGTTTTTGGCAGAGGGATGGGTCTTTCCTTTTCTTCCCTTCTTAAGTCGACTCCCTCTCCTTTCTCTATGGTCTCTCGGTTTTAGCTTGAAGGTGGTGGGTTCTTTGCCGATTTTTTCTCTTTCTCTCTTGGAAGGTGATTTGCAAGTCATGGAGGACGGTTCCTGAGCCTGTAAAATCAGCCATAAGGAGGAGAAGAAGCTGCTGAAAGGAGGAAGCAGAAGCTGTCCAGATTCGACCATATGGGTTGTGTTATTTCCGGTTTCGTATTTTCTTGGTTTTGCCTTAGAATTTCTTCTATTGTTTGATGTTTTGGTTGATTGAACTCCTAGGATCCCCAACATAGATGATAATAGAATGTAATGTTAATATGATATATTGATAATTGTCATATGTCAAAATAAAATACATAAATTTAAGTAAATTATATTGAAATAATTCTATATATAACATATTAATTTATATTCTTATAATTTTAAATAAATCAAATCGCAATAAATGATATAAAATTTTAGTTGTTTGTTCATAAGGATATGGGCTTATTCGGCAGTGCTTATAAAAATTGATTTTTGACCGTTAGAAAGAAAAGTGCTTCCTACCTGTAAGAGAAAAAGTAAAAAATGAAGGCTAACTTAGGGAAGCAAGAGTCTAAAAATTGATTTTTTTAGGGTAAAAAATCAATATCAAACATGCACTATATTAGCATCATTAAAAGTGATGACACTATATAGTAATATTCTAATATGGAAATAACAGGTATTAATGATTTTTTTCAAAAGTAAGGATAATTTCCTATAGAGTAATGCTATTTGTAATCCTTCACTATTATAGTCGCACTACGTTGTATATATGCATTAAATCACTAATTTATATGCCACGTAGAGCGATTATAACAATGAGCGACTGCAAGTAACATTACTCTTTTCTACAAAGGCATTGCATTGAAATCCTTGTCGAGTTACGAATGTGACAATTACGTGCCACCTTTTATGATAGAATGTGTCACCACCAATCCCATGTTGTTCTTCCATATTTGTGACAATTAGAAAAATGCTTATTATACATAACTATTTATATAATGATCATGTGTCAAAATGTAAATGTGGAAGTTATTTGATTGATTAGATTTTGATTCAATTAAATTTTGTCGAATCATTTATTAGTAGATTATTATGTAAATTATCATGTATATGAAGCATAATCCAATTAATTAATGTTTTATAATTTTAGAATTGGTTCAGATCTGACCTGACCTAATGGCACCTTATACCTCAGTTCATGCGAACCCCACCTACTCACCCTCTTGAGGGCAAAACTCCATTTTATATTTTAATAATATTATTTAGCCTCTGTTTGGGATCCATTATAATGAGTTTTTGGGTAAGTGTAAGTTGGAATAGTATTTTTTTTTTTTTTTTTTTAAGAAAAAAAATGTGAAGTCCAAACTAAGGCCTTGTTTTGTTCTAATTTAAATTAGATTTTAATTTAAGTCAAAGTCAAACAATTAATTTTAACCATATATTTCATGTGTTACACAACTTTTCAATCGCACATATCAAAATTTTTTATTAAAATTTACTAAAAATTTAATTTTAATTCGTACCAAAAATAAGTGTTATTAGTCTTAAAATATTAATTTAGTTAGTACTAATGCGACATTAAAGAGAAGTAAAACTAAATTAATCATTTATCATTCAGGCCCCGTTTGGTAGGAATTTTTTGTCCAAAAAAATTGATTTTTTGACCATTATTTTACTATTCAAGTCGTAATTTTTGACTTTTTCTCTCACGTGTGGACCCCATTTTTTTTCTAACGGTCAAAAAATTAATTTTTAAAATCCCCACCAAACGGACCCTCAAGAACGGAACGATTTTAAGAATTGATTTTTTTGACAATTGCGTGAAAAATGGGAGAGAATAAGTCCAATATAATAGCTTTCACTGTCAAACGGGCTGCAATTCTACTTTTGATGAAGCTTATCACGCTACCTAATTTGGTTCGTGACATTATTGTTTAGGAACGCGCCTCTTCTTTTGTAGTCGTCATCTTTGATAATATACAGGTTTTGACTTGGCAGAAGGATAGGAGATCTGAGCTGAAATGGAGAGAGTGCAACTGTCTTCGCCGGATATTCACGGAGAACTGACGGCGAACTGGTGGGATGAGATCAATGAGTCGGTGAAATGGCAGGACGGAATATTCTTCACTCTCTGCGGGGCCTACGCTCTCGTTTCGGCTGTTGCCCTGGTAAGAACTCAAATTACTATTTCAAGCACAATCCAATATATAGCGTATGTTGTTTTATGTGTATGCGGATGCAAATTCATTATTTGATACTGTAAGTCTTGTAAATATGTTATTTTCGTGATGAATCTACACAATTTCGGGAGATGAAAAATTAGAGCTTGTTCTTAGCTGTGGTTATAGAGTTGTAAGTTAATTAATTGTTATGGGTAGTGATTTTTTTGGGTGAACTGAGAATATAACCGAACTTATGAATTTGATTGAAATTTTTGTAACTTTAGTATAAAATTATGGGAGAGTGAGTTGAGCTTCGACCTACGATCAGTGAAAGTTGTTATTTTCCATTGGTTCAACAATTTAGAATTTACTGGAGTTTATCTATCATAAACTGAAAACCATATTTTGTTTTCCTTTTATCTTTTGTTGGGAAAGAGAAGGAAAACATGATCAGAGAATAGACAGAAACCCATGCTGATAACGTTGATCAGTTAGCAGCAATCAACATACAGATGGTGCAGGCTGGGTAACTCAGCTGCATGGCAATTTGTTTGAGTTAGAGCTTTAACTAATGCGGGATAAGTTGATATGATGAGGGATAAGCCTAGGATTGACAAGGATATGAAGTCATTCAATATCTTAACGGTTCCATTTAATTAAGAAAAGAACAATGAGTAATGTGTCAGTGTGTGAAACCACCATGCAGCTAATCGTTTCATGTTAATTTGTTAGTAAGACATTCTGTGATATCCGATAAGCATAATAATTGTAGAGGTATCTACATTTTTATTATAAAAATTTTAGGTGGCTTCGTCCTATCCATCATATAAAGAAGTCATATAGATTTAGAAAATTTCAAACTTAGTTCTTAATTCTTTTGTGATTTTGTATTTATTTTGCCTCTGCTTAAAATCTTTCTTGATATTTTATTTCAGTATCTTGGCATTGTTCATTTATGAGGACGATATCATAAAATCAGCCTTTAAGCTGATTATGGAATTTACTGTGTGCAGATTCAACTAATAAGAATTGAACTGAGGGTACCTGAGTATGGCTGGACTACGCAAAAGGTTTTCCACCTCTTGAACTTCATTGTGAATGGAGGTAAAAAACAAAGAATAACTTGGCTATCTTGTGCTTGTATATCTATTCATTAATTAATTGTAAAGCTATGTATGGCAGTGCGTGCTGTGGTGCTTGGATTTCATAAACAAGTTTTTCTTTTGCACCCCAAGGTAAGTTTCACCATGAATACTTGTCTGCTTGATGGTTACCATTCACACTTTGCTCCTTTTATTTATTCCTCCCACCTGTTCTTTTGTTTGAAGCTTCTTAATCTAGTAGGTTGAAAATTTTGTATTTTCCAGCTGAAAATTTATTTGATAGTAATATCTGTATTATCTTCGCCTTTTTACTAAACTGAGCTGCACTTTTAATTTTTCTGTTTATACTTGCTTTAGTCTGTATTTAGTCTTTTTTCTATCCTTGCTAGAGCCTGTTGTTCTGGGTGTACTGGCATTATTAACGAAACATTCATTCATTTGATGATATTATGACATACTACATTTATAAATATTAGTCTGCTTCCTCGTGTTATGGGTTTGATTGATCAAGCTCCCAAGTTGATTGACAGTTAAGATCTTAAATTTTTGCATTGTCCCTACTCCTAGTTGTTCCGTCACATTTAGGTTTATATTTGAAGATTTTTCATGTAAACTATATTATTTTATTTAACACAGGCTTATGATAATTAACAAGCTGCTTTCACTTCCCCTTAAATGAATTATGGATGAATTCATGATATGTTTCTTTCCTGATAACTACTTTTGGTATTGAACCCAAGATTGTAAACAATGTATTTGGTTTGAATGCCTTCCATGGAGAAGTCTCTTCTCATTAAATAATTAGATACAACCTTGATTACAGTCTACAATTAGGATCGAGACAAAGTAAATTGTTAATGAAGGAAATTATAAAGCTAACTATTTCCTAATAAAAAGATTCTTTATACATATATGCCTAATTTCCTATTCTCGCTGGCAAATATGTATTTCCCTATTTGGGGATTGCAGTCCTGCAGAGGTGACTTGTAACACTTAAATTGCATTATCATTTGTGTGAGAATCATTTCATTAATTCAGTTCACAGGCATATAAATGCTAACTGGATTTCATTTTTGTTTATACGAAGCAGCATATGGCTTGCATGGTGCACCCAAAATCTTAATTACTGAATGATTATTGTGGATCTGCAGTATAGATATTTGGTGGTTTGCATGAATTTATAAAGTGGACTGTTTCTACAACAGATAGTTCTGTAATCATATGGCTACTCATGCTTAGTCAATCACTTGAAGAAACTCCACTTCATTTTGTATCAGGCACTAACTTTGATACTCTTGGATCTTCCTGGGCTACTGTTTTTCTCAACATATACGCTTCTTATCCTCTTTTGGGCAGAGATATATCACCAGGTAAGTAGAGAGTCATAAAAATTATCCGCCTACTGAATGAGCGCTGGTGAGTTATGAATCAGTTGACACTTGGTTTTTCTATGTCCTGATAGAATATCTTGACAAAGTGAAGTGTGTACACTTGTGAATGCAATTACATAAAACGAGGATTATCTGACACCCTTCATCTTGATTATTGGCAGGCTAGGAGTTTGCCCACTGATAAACTGAGGATTTTCTATATTTCTATCAACGGTGCAATATACTTCATTCAGGTGCATTGCACTTGTATTGCAACCTCACTAAGTACTATTTGATGAGTTTAAATTATATATTTGCATTTGTATGTCTCTTAGAGATATATTCATTGTCAATATTGTAAAAGTTCTCATAATCTATTCTGCCCTGAATGTTTGATAAAGATGCCTCCACGATATAAATTTTGAGTCTCTGTATCTTATGGCATTTTGCTGTTATACCTAAGATATATTGCATCATTTTTCTTCTTTCTACTATTCCACCTTTGTCCTGTTGACATCTGTTAGTTGGAACTTAATCCTGCACGTCTATTTTACCTCGAGAGTGGGAGAAGTTTCAGGTTAAATTTCTTATGCATATTTTACACTAGGGGCAGAATATGAGTATTATGAGTTATGTTTCTCTTGAAGAGATGCCAATCCTTCTTTCTCTTGCTTGCCCGAAGATGAAGGCTGTCTGGCTAAATGATGTGAAATCCATTGCTCTTCACATACCGGTGACAAAATTTCCTTATCAAATAGCTAAAACTAAGAAATTTTGTCATATGGTTGTTGATGCCAGATGGCTTGTGGTAGATAGTCAAGTCTGCTCAGGACTATAAATTGTTTCAGTTGGAGAAATGATGGGCATGCCCAGGGAGAATTCTGAGAGGAAGGGAGAATTGAGAATTGCAGAGAAAAGGAAAAGAGATGAAGGAAACCTAGAAATCGCACAAAGGCATCTTGTGCATCACATCCAGGAGAGAAGATGCGTCATGCTTTGGGCAAATCTAAAATATAAAGTCACTCCATCATAAAGGACTTTATAAATTCATCTCTGTAGAAGATATACTTAGTGAGCAATTGTTGTGTTGTCCCAATACTCAAGACTTCTATTAACCCGAGATTGGACCAATCAAATCCATCTAAAGCAAGCTACTAGTTAATGACAGCCTGCTACTGCAACGCGTATTCAAAACAACTATCCTAATCATGGAATACGACAACAAATTAACTCGCTTTTAGTAAGACAACAGACCAAGTAAGTTGTATTTCCTAGTAGATAAATGAAGTCATGAGAAGAACTTGAAAATACTTAAACAAAGTCGTGGACAAGTGACGAAAAATTTAACCCAACTTGCTTCTTTATTTTTTTTTATTTTTTATTAGTCTACTATATACTTCATCGGTTGTCTGGTCTATTCTTTACAAATTAAGATTTTTTTTTTCGATAAATGATCCTATAAGAAAAGATATTGAAATCAGGTCTGCATCTGGGCATTCATCTGGATGGATGACAACAGTGCTGTGGAATTTGTTGGAAAGATTTTTATTGCAGGTTGATTTCATCGTTGTAATTTCTATTTTCGAAATACATTTGAGCTTGTTTTCTTAGTTTGCCAGAATCATTTTTTTGCATAATATCTATGGTTTCTCATCTCTTTTGATCTTCGCAGTGGTATCATTTATCGCAGCATTAGGTTTCTTGATGTATGGAGGAAGGTAGGTATTTGAAAACTTCCAAATCACAACTGTTATCATCTAAAGCAAATTAACCTTAGCAATTTGCTTGTTGAGGTTTTGAATTTCAATTTTCTATTACTCTCGTCTGTTGTCAATTTCGTCTCCTTCCTCATTCCAGGTTATTTTTAATGCTGAGACGTTTCCCCATCGAGTCAAAAGGAAGGAGAAAGAAACTTCATGAGGTTATGAATGACATTCGAATGAGAAAAAGTTGCATACTTTATCTACTATGAGCATGTTTGGCAAAGCTTTTACTAGATTATTATGGGTCCTAAGAAATGTGGGGATACTAAATGGGTAAAAGTAGGTAAAAGTCGTGAGTTCTACTGAATGTGTGGATAGAAATAGAGTTTGATCAACTTATAAGCAATTTTAAGCATTTCCAAACATGCACATAGCGTTGCAGCATTTACAGATTGTTACATTTATTCAGTTTACTTTTTGATAAATCCATAAAGTTTTTGATTACAAAAAATATTAGGCAATATCCAAAGTAATCTATAGAGTTTCTCTGAAAACCCCATCCAGATTGCCTTGTACCGCTTTGACTGTGGGCCAAACAATGTTCACCTAATAATAATTATCGCTTATTGTATTTGCATTGATAGTGTTTTGCATGATTATAAGGTTATATTATTGGAGAATCGCTCAATATCAAGGCCTCTTGAAATTTATTCAGATGATTTGACTCACTGAATCTCAGTAAATTGGATTAGCAAGTCTATTCAATGATACAATCATGAATTTCTGAACTCAAAAAGATAATCGGGATTGAAATTATTCTCGTTATGAAAGTACATATCAAATTAAATTGAAAACTTTTGATTTGCCCTTTTAGCGGTGGTTACCAGGTATTAATGGTCAGAATTTGCCCTACATATCAACTCTGATTAGCTTGTCATTTAGAACTTAATGCATGACAATTAAAACACTTACAATAGTGCTCAAATACACAATTTGCATATCCATTTAGGATAGTGCTATTTTTTTTTTATTTTTTTTTTTTTCAAATCTTGTGATGGTGATTGGGAGTTGATATTATCTATCAGCTGATGTTGCTGTTCTCCAGTTGTTTATTAGCTTAGTGAGTATTTTATCTAGAATATATTATATAGCCACATGAATCTTATTTCATGTGCTCCTTAGTTGAGTAACTCATTTAATGTATATCCTTCTCATTCCTCCTATATGTGTGAACTGATTGGTTTTTGTTGTTGCAGGTTGGATTTGTGACGGCTATATGCTTCACTTGTTTTCTTATAAGGTGCTTCGTGGTATGGTTCGAAATGCCTTTCACTTGATTTTTGACATAATAGAAGTGCTTCTTGTGTTGAAAAAGTCACAATTGAACTCAGTGTTTCTGCATGCAAAAAGGAGATCACTACTGTTGTAGACAATTTACAAATATTCTTTCTGAGACCAAAATTTGCACAAATAGAAGCACAAGTGATTTGGTGGTGTTTCTTTATCTTCCAGAGTGAGTGGTCCGACTAGTTAAGAGTGCCCAATGAAAATCTCTCTCTTCCATCTTTTAAATATTCTGGCACCAGTACTACTTGTTTCTGCAATATTTCTTATCTTTATTTCTAGCCTCAGTTTGAAGTTTTGATATCCTGATTCAGGCACAACTAAAATTTACCATGGAATTCCACGATTTTTGCTTATTCTTGATTTATCCTCATATACCATGCATTTTTCTGTTGATATAGCCAAGTGACCTAATTATTTATTGACTGCACATAGAACCAAAAAGTGCGGAAATTTTGATTAGAAACAGTTTCTTTTCGGTGGAGGCAGTGTCCTTTTCTAATTGTACATCTAAGGTTCTATCTGTATCATGGATATTCATAGGACTTGAACAATTTTGGCATGGAAAAGATTGATCCATAGGGAGAAAAAGAGGCATATTTTGATTTAAATAGTTCTTAGAAAAATTATGAACAAAACAAATAGCATACATCCAGAAGCCATATTGAGTGTTTTCTGACTTGTTAAACCTAGCTTTTGACTGCCTCCCTCAGGAATTTTGCACTAGGCAACCTTAGTTCCCTGTTCCGAACTAAATACAACTATGCATGAAATGCAGTTTATTATTTATTTGAATTCATTGGAGTACAATGTATAGATGGCTTTGTGAGGCGAGACTTGGTATTAGTGAGTGTATTTCAGAATTACAAGGGAATTGTGAGTGAGTGGATTTACAGGCTGATATGGTCTTGATTTATTCACCTGTTGCATAAACCCACAAACATTACAACAGTCATTTTTAATTCTTTATTCAAAATTTTTGTGCATTAGTCTTGTTGTGAATAAATTCCCAGTCATTAACAGACGTCAAAAAGCATAAAGAAGTCATTAAGTTGGAACATTGGATTTACCTTTTATATAATTTTGGAGTTATCTTACTGTGCGATACTTCTCTTCCACTGCATTCTTAGATGCACTCTTTATTGATCTTGTGATGCCTATATTTTGCTACATTCTGCAGGTTGGGGTATCTGCTTTCGACCCAGATGCATCTCTTGAAGTATTGGACCATCCAATTCTAAATCTTATCTATTACACGGTAAATTGCTTTTATCAAGTTTGCCAACCTTTTCTTCCCTAATTTTGTGTTCTCATATAGTTGATGCAAAAACAGCTGGTCGAGATTCTTCCTTCAGCACTAGTGCTGTACATCTTGCGCAAGCTGCCTCCCAAAAGAGTATCAGCTCAATACCATCCCATCCGTTAGTCATGGTGCATTTTTATTGGCAGTGGTATTGTTTTGGGTTACCAAGGTTCCAGCTTAGAGAAATTAGTGACCTTGAAGGGGTTGAATAGGAGCCTGGAAAGAAATCCAGATGTTTTATTTCTCTGGAATGCTCGTCCTGTATTTGTATGGAGCTCAAGCTGAGATAGATTTTCAATTGTTCTTGTTATAAATTGTGGGTTGGAAGAAGTTTGCAATTTGACAGCATATTAAGAAATTAGCGCATGATAAAATTGTTCTTGCAATTGTAATGTTGGAGGGTGTTAATTTTACCATCTTCTCAATAGTTCTTTGCATAGTTTTGCTAGATTAGCTCCTTTTTGGTTTCCTCGAAGAACAATGCCCTGCGTACAGGGCACTGTTCTACAGGGGGCTTATAGGCCCTCTCACTGTAGTTCCAGGTCGGTCCCATGCATTAAAAAATAATAATAATAATAAATAAATAAATAAAATTGTGCAGGCCCCCGCCCCGCCGCCCCCCGTCTGTCTGCCCTGACCTCTGTAAATATTCCCTGTACGTGAAGCATCTCCCTTCCTTGAAAGGGTACTGGCAGATTTTATTTAAAATTTACCCCTTTTAACGTGCTTAGGTGGGATATAGCTTTACAGGGTTTTGGGCCCGCACAAATAGTTTACAGCTGCTGAATTATTAAAAAAAAAAAAGAAAAATTTAGTTGTAAGACAAAGGGGTTGAAGCCCTGGACGATATTTGATAATATTTGATTACACATTCTAATGTTTCATGTGATAGGCTACTTATAAGCACGAAAATAGCTGTTCCAAACATGCCCTCTGTTTTTAACAGAATGGCAATGACAGTCGTAAAAACAAGCCTAGAGATTAAGGGTCGGGTCTAAAGGATGTCCAATTCTCCATAAAATCTGTGAACATAAAGTACGAGAAATATACAGATGTATCTATAAGCAAGTCACCCAATCTTCCAAATCACTGTAAGTTTACATCCCACAAGAAGATGAGGAAATGCAAAGCTAAAATTTCCTGTATCCTGCACAAGTTTAGATTACAACAGCAACCGCGGTTGAACACGTACTATTTATGGTCCCTCAAATCAAATCTTTATCTAGGAGAAACAAAAGCCAGCATCGAGAAGGACATGCACCCACCCACAAATCTGATCAATTCTGTTGAACATCGTCCACTGGTGGAGGAGCAAATCTCATTTCTGCAGGCCTAGCAGCCACTACAGGCTCATCTGCAAACAATGACTTAATAAAAGTCGGAGTTCTCAGGGGACGCCTACCTGTCATGCGTGGGTACACGTCTTCGAGGAAATAGTAGGCATGACCAGCAATCATTCCCTGATGGAAGTTATAAATGTTCTTAGTCAGTTATGTGCAAACAAACTAAATTCATAGACAAGAAAAAAAAAAAAAAAAAAAAAAAAAGCACAAAAGAATAACACAAGCAAAAATCATTTACACAATTATTCAAGTTCTTGCCGAATTGCCCATCAATTGTTAATTAGTTAACTAAAAATGCTAATGATGCCTACATTTCAAGGATGTGACTAAACATTAAAAAGATGCATTCTCTAAGCCTTGAATAACCCAAGCACATTTAGTGCTTGTTTGGGAAAGCATTAAAGGTTGGTAAAAAATTGAGGTCAAAGTCACTAATTAATTTTAACCACACATTTTATAAGAGCCATAACTTTTATCAACTGTTTAACCACAAATTTCATCAAACTTTTATCAAAGCTTTATCAAACAACCCCTTAAGTATCAGTGTGCATGCTTTCGATGCTGGAGAAGGGACTCCTTTTCGTACGGGAATAAATATCAGAAACAATAAGGACCTCGTTCAAACTACCAAGACATGCAAGTTCAACTCAAGATAGTAATAAAGTCTGCAAATATACCAGGAGGTCCACCCAAGCACTAGCTCCAACAAGGACAGAGAACCCTAGAAGAACCTGAAGAAAAAAGGATAAAGCCCAGAGTCACTCGTATGTTCAGTAGTACCATAAACAAAACCAACATTGGCAAGTATAGTTAAAAATGGTGTAAATCTTTAGATTTCTCAATTTCGTTTCAGCATTTTGTCGTGTTCAGTTTTTCTTTGGAAGGGTGGTCATTAAGTGCAGATGATCTTGCAGTTCGAATGTCACACTATCTTGAGATATGTAGAACAGCTTAAATCAGTCAGGGGGTTCTGAGGAATCAACGCTTCCAAATAAAAGTGCACTGTGCACTCCCTAAATCTTGAACAATCATAGCCACCGTTTGGCCTCCATTATTTCAAATTTTAATAGGTGGAATAGTATTTTTTTTTTTTTTTTGGCGAATGAATGGTTGAAAAAAGAAGAAAAGATTTTCAGTTTACGTGTAATATTATTTTATGGAAGATAGGGTGGTTAAGAATAGGAGAGAGAAAAATATAAATTAATTTAATGGGGGCCAAATGGGTCAATAGTATTGGAGGAGAATCCATTGATGAAGATATTGATTAATATTAGAAAGTATTATCCTTAATCTTAGCATACCAATCTCTGTCGCCTCCAACTACAGACTCCTATTCAGTTAGTCTGCTGTCTTTTTATTCATATTACAAACTAGATTAGGTTCTTATTTATTGCAAAGCTTCAACTTCTATTGGTTCGTTCAAAGTTGTGTGTTTTTCCTCATTCGACCATGCCAACTTTGATGGGGAGTATTGGAGGAGAATCCATTGATGAAGATATAGATGAATATTGGAAAGTATTATCCTTAATCTTAGCGTACCAATCTCTGTTGCCTCCAACTACAGAGCCCTATTCAGTTTAGTCTTCTTTGTTTTTATTCATAATATAAACTTGATTAGGCTCTTATTTATTTTGTATTTATCATGTAAAATAGTTTAGGCTTATCTTTAATGTTTATCACGTACTGTATTTTGTGTATAAATACATTACCAATGTATTCAATAATAATATTGAGGGATTCCTTTTCATACAGGCTTGTACAATAAGTTAATATTCCGGCATTAAATATGGACAACAAATGATTATAGACACCCTCAAGGTGCTAATATGAGTTAACAAAATTAGAAAAATGAAAGCAACAAACTGGCTGTGATGCAATGAGCTTGAAAATGAGGTTAAAAATATTTACATTTAAAGAAAAGCAACGCTAATGCTATGTGTATATTTTTTACAATCTGCACAACTGGCTATTGAATGTTTAATCAACGACTAACCCATGGAAGATAAGCTGCTGTGAAAGTAAATAGCCCCAAGAAACTCATGTGGATGTAAGGATTCTGCTTGCTCCAAACATAGACCTACAACATGGATAAAATGAGAGTAGAAAGAAAAAAGGTACTAGCTAGTTAAAAATGTGCAGTCAGAAGTCTTCCAAAATACAGGCAAACCAACCATCATAAATGTGAGTGAATTGCTAAGGAATATAACCCTAGCAAATGACTCTGACACGTAAGGAATCATTCCTCCAATAAGAACAATGCCAGTCAAAACAGTGGCACCAAATAATAGCATGTAGAAGAAATCTGCAGTCCTTCCCCGAAAGGAGTTCTCTTCAAGAAGCTTGCAGTATCGAGCAAGAAAGAACATGTGAAACAAAAAGTCCAAGTCTGGAAACACAAAAAGCAGATCAAATTACAATAAAACAAATTATAGACATTATCAAAATTCCCTGAAGAACACTTCTCATAGTTAATTGATATTTTTTTCCTAACAGTTAAAACACATAAAAAGAAATTATGTCAACTATCATAGTCAAAGCCTATTGTGATTAAGAGTACTCAGTAAATAAAATTTCCATTGTATTACTAATAAAAAAAATTCCTCAATAAATGAATTGGCTTGAAGGGGTGGGTGTGTGGGTGCTTAGAAACCTGCTTCAAATATAAACTTTGTTAGTGTCCACTTTAACATTCACAAAGGGTTCTTATGTGCTTCAGATTATATTAAATTAGATAATCTGATCCTTATTTTCATAAAGAGGCTTCTCTTTCCATTTATCATTCGCCAGATACGCAAGAATAATAAATCTCAACTTCTTGAAAAATATAACTACCCATTTTTCGAAAATACAAAAAATTGGTGATGACTCGCCAGACTTGGTAATGCTTCATCACTAGCTTTGGATTCAAGTACAAGTCGTATGGTGTTATTATCTGCAATGACATCACAAAAAAATGAAATTAATAATTCTCGAGAAAAAAGATAAAACCAATAAGCTATTAATTTTTTACAAAATACATGCCCTACAGCTCTAGTAGGCTAGTACTGATCATGTACTTCTGAAATCACTGAACTTTTGATTGATAAAAAAACAAAAATAAAAAAAAATAAAAGGCTACCTATTATTCATGAAATTAACTAATCGTATTAATGATTATTCAAACCAATCATGTACTCCTTAAATCACTAAACTTTTACAAAACTCATCTATATATAAGCGTGCACCGGTGTTCCTGCACAAAAATAACCAAAAACAAGAAACAGCGAATTAAATGAATTACATCGAGGGAGCAACCGATTGTGGTGACAATGGCAGCTGTAAGGTACGATCTGGTGATGATCGGCATCTGCTTGTACCATTCTTCCACTGCTTGAGCCATTCTGCCCCTTCAAATTTCCCAAACCCTAACAGAAAATTGCGTCAAATGAAGAAAAAATCCCGCGAAATCGAAAAAATAAAAGTATAGAAATGGATAGATCAGAACACGAGGTTTTGTTGTTTGATTATATCCCCACACTCTTTAATACGAAGTGATGAGGACTGGCCAACGATATTAACAATGAATCTTGGTAATGTCACCGTGTTCGTGTGCGAAATTGTGGATTTTTCACTGTTAAGAGCGTGTAAATCAAAACCATAAATTCTCTATGCCCTGTTTGTTTAGTAGAGATTAAGCCCCTGTTTGTTTTCCATTATTTGTCTATTAAAATGTAAAATATGACTGTTATCCCTCACATCAAGCCACCATATTTGACTTTCTATTTTTTGTGTGGGCCCGTAATAACTATATTTTTCATTCTCATTTTTACATCAATGTGTATCAAACAAGACCTTAATGAGATTCTTAGTATATTTTGGTAAAAGTTAATTAAATATATGATTAAAATATATGGTTGGAATTTAGCTCCGTTTAGCGTCCATTCTCTTTCTCTTTATTTTTATTATTCTTATTTTCAATCATACAATCTTTCATAAAATAATATTACACACAAATCGAAAACTTTTCATTCTTTTTTAGCCACACATTTAAAAAAAAAATCTATTCAGTTAGTAAAATTTGGAAAGAATAGGGGCCAAAGAAGAGCGGTATAAAACAATAATCACAACAATTAGTACAACACCCGAAAAATGTGTTAGTGCAAGATTAACTTGGTTATCCGAATGGACTTGAAAAACATGGCACTAAATTGAAGCATTCAAGGATGAGGAAATTACACGCATAGCTACCTTTAAACTTTTCATTTCAAAATGAAAAGGTAAAAAGTGTAAAAATAGAAATAAGTCTATCTTTTTGGGACAAATGGAGCAATTCTTTAATGAAAGAGAAATTAAGAGGGGATAACTTGTGATCGGGTTAATTGATTGTGTTACTGGTTTGGAGGAATATATGGATTTGGTTATCGTCTTGAGCAAGTTGTTTGAAATCCACAATATGGTATGTTGGATTCAACGGAATTTTGTTTAGTTTACTGAGTTTTTTTATTTTTATTATTATTTTTTTTTTTATGACCATGGGTGTCCGGATCAACTCATTCATACCTCGACTAATTCTACAGGGCCCTAAAATTTACAGTTGGGTACTCACCTCAATGGCCTTGAGAAGACTCGAACTGATGACCATTGGAGAGCAAACCAAGGCCTGACCACTGAGCTACCTCTCAGGATTGTTTAGTTTACTGAAATTTGAAGTTTGATACGTCCAGTTTATCTAGAATTTGCTTTGGTATACGTCCAATTTATCTAGAATTTGAATATGATAGTAGGTCTAGTTCATTTGATTTCAGGTATTTGAAAATTTTCCTCCTATGAGTCAGGTTCTTTCGTTGTTCCATCAACAATATACAAGGGATTTGCAATTTACATACTCTTGTTGGTACTTGCATTATTGTCAAAAAGTGATTAGATAAATAAATAAATAAAAAACTAGAGTTTTTTTTTTTTATAAACTGTCAAATGACAGTTTGCCATGTGATAAAGTATACAACGAGCATGATTCATAAATAAAAATCTCGACGAACCACATCCTGATATTGGTAGAAACAGAAAGAATAAACTTACTAATCAGAAAAAGAGGATCATAGAGGCACAATCAGATTTGTGGAATAGCACCAAAAATGTAAATCCAAAGGAAATTAAAAATAAGATGATCTAATACCATGTTAATAAACTTCAAAATTCAAAATTCCAATCATAATATGAAGCAATCACCCTACAAAACTTGTTGCTTGATTATAAGATCATAGTGACAAAAGTTGCAAAACCACCAACAATAATCACATAACCACAAACTGATTATATCATACTTCATAGGAATTGGATCTTTGCTAACGGCAGTAGGTAGATTTCAATTCCATCAAACAATGGAGGCGTCACATAAGATTTGAATGCTTCCAACAGTAAAACTCCTATTACTGAATCAATATCAATCAAATTGGTCATTGCTAATAAATCAAAGAGGAAATTACACACACAAATCTGTTTTTTAACTTCCTATTTCAGTAATTAGGCGCACTCCACTCCCAACCTTCACACTCACACACTCATCTCATTTTCTCTACCTACATACGGGGGCGGATTAGGTGGTGGCGAGCTAAGGCAGCCACCCTAGCTGGATTCGTCGAGGAGAATTATTTTTTAATTTATATATATATATATATATATATATATATATATATTTATATTTTTTGTATTTCAACAATTTTTATCAAAACAAATACAAGGAAAGTAATTCAAACATGCTATCTTCTTTAAATATATTGACAACTTTATCATCATATCACTTATTAATTTTTAGCACATAATGTAACAAAATAATATAAGTTCAATTTTACTAGTTTAATGCAAGTAGAAACATTTTAACCTATACTTTGTCCCTCTTCTTGATTTTCTTTTCTTTTCTTTTTCCCCCCTCTAATCAATTGATTTGAGAGTTTGGCCAATGAATGAGATGAATTTGTAGGAAAATTGATCTTAGTGTCATAAAGAATCTTTCAACAAAACTTGTTTAATTAATAAAATGTTCCATTTTTCGTTCACAAAAAATCAATTGCGAAAAAGTGGAATTATACAAGCACATAAAATTTATATAAGCATATAAATAATTTTAATTTTGTTAATATAATAATGCTTGTTTAATTAACTTTAATAGTAAGGTGAATATTGACATTTTGTTAACATATATTGCCTATTTAACTGAAAAATAAATTAGAACATTTTGCAAATTATGGAACAATTTTTCATTCAAAATGAAAGTTCGTACCTAAATTCTAGTAGTGTATCTAGTTCTTCTAGTTCTAATTCATACGATTTTTTGAATATTATTTAATTAAATATTAATAAACAACCCCGTTATCACGGACGTTGGCCGTCGATAATAAGCTTTCAAAGCTCGATGTTCGCCCTAGCTGAACTCGACCCCTGGATTTGCCCTTGCCTACATATCAACAATCTCTCTCTCTCTATGTACCTTCAAACAAATAACTCTCTCTACACCTACTTTCGAACTCCACTGTCAATTGCTAGTACCCCACCTCCTCACTCGCCGTTGACTACCGATGTCGACCCAACACCGCAAATTAGTGTTATTAAAATTGGACCATGTCATAAAGAATACATCAAGCATGATTCACAAAATAAAAATCTCGAAGAACCACATCCTGATATTGGTAGAAACGGAAAGAACAAACTTACTAATCACAAAAAGAGGATCATAGAGGAACAATCAGATTTGTGGAATTGCACCAAAAATGTAAAATCCAAAGCAAATTAAAAATAAGATGATTTAATACCATGTTAATAAACTTCAAAATTCAAAATTCCAATCGTAATATGAAGCAATCACCCTTCGAAACTTGTAGCTTGATTATAAGATCACAGTGACAAAAGTTGCAAAACCACCAACAATAATCACCTAACCACAAACTGATTATATCATACTATGAGAATTGGATCTTTACTAACGGCAATAGGTAGGTTTCAATTCCATCAAACAACGGAGGCGTCACATAAGATTTGAATGCCACTAACAGTAAAACTCCTATTACTGAATCAATATCAATCAAAATGGTCACTGCTAATAAATCAAAGAGGAAATTACACACACACACACAAACCTGTTTTTTAATTTCCTATTTCAATAATCAGGCGCGCTCCACCCCCAACCTTCACACTCACACACTCATCTCGCCGCCCTAGCTGGATTCGTAGGGGAGAATTTATTTTTACTGATAATAGATAGAATTTTTAGATTATATATTTGATAATTCATATTAATAACAAACATCTTTGGTAACTCAGTTGGTTAGCCCTTCCACTATTGAATTAGAAGTTTTTTTTCAGAACTCTTCAAGAGTAATATTTTTTTTATAATTTTTGTATTACAACAATTTTTACCAAAACAAATGCAAGGAGTGTAGCTCATGTGTTGGTTAAAAAACTTTGTTTGAGATAGAAAATATTTACAAGTTTTGATTATTCAAAGTCTTTTGAGAACCAAATAATTTGATCTTTTAAAGATTGGAAAATAGGGTAGCAAAGATCAATAAATGCCTCACTTAAATGTTCAAGAAAACTATATCAATGAATGCAAAGTGAGAGGGTATTTATAGCTGTAGAATCGTCAAAAAATATGTCCTACCAGACGTCCTCTATCGTACGTGACGGTTCACTAGCCATTGTTGTCACAACCCATTAAAAAATTTTACCGTTGGCCACGTCCACTAAGGCAGTTTTATGTAAAAAAAGATTTTCTTCAATGATTTTGACAAATGTAATACTTTGAAGAACGTTTATACTTGATTTTTCAAGATAAGTGATATTTTATAATGTAAGATTGAATTTGTTATCTTGAAAAATATCTTGTGTGGGTATTTAGGTGAAATAATTTTTCTTGTGTATAAAATAGACACTTGAGCCTTTTAAGATTCATTGCCAAATATTGAAATATATTACCTTTACATATGAGATTAAAAAGTTTAAGACTATTATCTTCAATAAGGCTCTTCGTCTTGATGTGCATTCTAGACTTATGCTTTCATTTCAATAGCAATCTTTATAACGTCAATTTTGCTTCCTTATCGATTATCACTCTGTTTCGAACTTGGCCTCTTCAAATTTAATTTGCAATATTCTCTATCATCACTCGAATTCAATTTGTTAGAAATAAGTTTAATTTGTTTGTGATAATCAAAATGAGAAATCAACCATAGGTCAAGACATGGCACACTTTGTACACCATGAATATTGGCAGTTCATTACTCAAAAGTTCAAATACGCATGTCACCTATTTGAATTTGTTTCTCTTTAACATAGTCTGTCCAACCTACAGTAAGACATCGTATATCACCATTTATTCTTAAATTTGTACGTGTGGGCCAATTGTGATGCGAAGAATCATGGATTTGGACATTGCCGACAAAATTTGGTAAATATAAATCCACAGGTACATACTGCAAATTAAAGTAACAAATCAATCAATAATAGAATTTAGAATTATATGGGGAACATGAACTTAAAATTATGTTCCATATATGTAAGTAAAGAAAGATACAATTTAGAAAGAAATGAAGTAAAAAAGGAGCATACAATTTTTCGATGACCATCACGATTAGTTGCCAATGTT